AAAAAAAAAAAAAGAAGAAGAAAAAAAAAACTAGTATACCAATGGGCCTAGCTCAGTTGGTACACCCATGAACTGTTGAAACACAGACCCAAGTTCGAATCCAGATACAATCAGATCACCGGAATAAAATCATTCTGAATTGCTTTGGGCCGGTCCGTTTAATGATGATATCTCAAGGCCGTCGCCGTTTAAAAAAAAAAAAAAAAAAAAAAAGTAGTATAGTTCCAGTGGACAATAAGGGCCTAGCTGCACTGCTCGCCATCCGGCAAAATTCTGAATGAACCTGAACAGGGAATTTATCACGGTGCATTTAGAATGAAACGATTTCAAGCTGCATCAGTGTCCCAAGTCGCAGTCCCACAGTCCCATTCGGTCCCAGTCCCACGGGTCCTGGTAGGTCCTAGGCCCACGGTCTTAGGAGTCCACCAGTAGGGCCCTGTGATTGAAGCCTCACAGCTCCGGAACAGTCAGGCCCGCACCCTACAAGAAACGTCCAAAGTCCGAAAGTCGATTTTTTTTTTTTGGCAGCAGCATCCCAGGAAAGTCCTGGAGACATCCGGAACAGAAGATTCCCTCCAAATTCCGCCAATAGAGGACAACCATTGGCCTCTACAACACCCTGGGCAAGGTCCCAGTTGCACGGATTACGAGATTTCGGCCGTTGATCTCGGCTATCTACGGTCTCTATCTCTTAATTCGTGCAAGTGGGACGTAGCTCCTGGGCTTTCTAAACAAAACAATAAAAAAACAATAAAAAAACAATAAAAACAAGATTCCCGCCAACAGGCGGCAGGGACGGGTACCAGACCAACGCAGGCAAACAACAGGTCAACTTGGTCAAGTCCCTATTTATGGCTGCTACAGTATCTCGTCAGAGTCACTTCGCCTTTCATGGGTGGCAGATGTGCTGCTGATTCTGTGCTGAATGCTTGTGCGACCGCGTGCAACATAGACAAGGACGGCGTGGACGGAGAGGGTGAGAGGGTGAAGGGTCGCGCCATAGCTATGGTCGTCAAGGAGGGAGGGTCGCGGCCATAGCCAGGGTTAGGGTAGAGGTAGACCAGGGTGGTGTCTCCACGAAGGGAGAGAGGGCCAGGATGAGTGATGGGATACAGAATCGTGAGAGCAAGTGAGTCAGAGCCATAGAAGACGTGTGTGTGTGTGTGTGTGTGTGTGTGTGTGTGTGTGTGTGTGTGCGTGTGTGTGTGTGTGTGTGAGAGCTGTCTCTTATACACATCTAGATGTGTATAAGAGTACCCCTTACCCCTTACCCTTGCATGTATACCCAT